AAACAAAACAACGGTCACTAATTAGAAGTACAAAACGAGGATTTGTAAAGAAGAATTTCGGAGGATTTCGATATAAGCCAAGAGGAGACTGGTTTTTCTTTGCTAAAGTAAGGAAACTTTGCTTCCTTTGCTCCTGTAAACAAACTCGCGAGACTAGCATATCTCAGAGGCGCGCGCTGCGCATATGTGCTACGTCATTCGCCAGAAAGCCATCCGCGTATGAAAGATAACGGAAGTGAGAGAAAAGTGTTTATTATGTTTGAAATATGGATTTGTTCTTACAAAAAAGCATGGATTCACCACAGAAGGCCTTTATTCACCCCCCCCGGAGCCGTGTGAGACATGTTTATTATGAATGCGCGCGCTTTATTTGACGACTTGTGGACTGTTCAACTGCAACACCCGCTGACTGCAATGATAGAGCTTGGAATAGCCAGGACCATTTTTAATATAACTCCGACTGGATTCGTCTGAAAGAAGAAAGTCATATACACCTAGGATGCCTCGAGGGTGAGTAAAACACAGTCTAATTTTCATTTTTGGGTGAACTAACCCTTTAAGACTTCTCTCTATTCCTTAGTAAAAGTTTGTCTCAGCAGCTTTGTGAATAGGTTTTAAGAGAAAACTCTTAGCTAAAAACTTTTACTGCTATTTAGGAGAACTCTTAGTGGTAAGATAAAATGTTTTGTGAATACGGGCCCAGTACTACAATATGGAAAAGATGATTTTTTTTAAAAATATATTAAATATTTGTAAGCATTGTGGTAATATTTGTTGTACTGCCATGAAATTATGCAGACTTTAGTGTCAATAACAACAATATGAAATATGATGATGAAATGAGGATTACAATGTACACTTCCGTTCAAATGTTTGGGTTTAGTAAGATTCTTTTTTAATATTATTTAAATAAGTGCACTCAAAAAGGCTAAAAAAAAATACTGTAAAGCATTAATATTATGAACAATTTAACTAATAACTAAATGTAATTTATTCCTGTGACAGCTAAGCTGAATTTTCGGCAGCCATTACTCCAATCTTCAGTGTCACATGATCCTTTAGAAATCTGATATTCTGAATTCTAATATGTTGATTTGCTGCTCAAGAAACATTTCTTATTACTATTATATAAATGTTTTTCTGCTAAACATTTTGTTGAAAGCATGGTATTTTTTTCAGGACCTTTAATGTATATAAAGTTCAAAAGAACAAACATTATAAATATAAATTTTAACCCATTTTATGCATCCTTGCTGAATCAAAGTATTAATTTCTTTCAAGAACAAATTGTACTAACCCCAGACTTCTGAATGGTAGTGTATTTGATTGAAATTTCTTTTTGAACATTTTTTATAATAATAAAAGCTGTCACTGGGTGGTACCATTTCGAAAGCTACTAATATATAATATTTAGGTACTAATATGTATCTTTAAGGTACTAATAGGCACACTTTAAGGGTAAAAAAATGTACAAAAGCATAACTTTAAAAAGGTACTGCCCCAGTTACAGCTTTTGTACTTTTGTTTCTGAGATACAAATGTTGAAGTGTTAAATAAGAGTGTAATCTCGTACCTTTGTAGAGCAGTCATCGAAGCGCACTTGGTATCCCACCTCCTCACCCAGCCAGACCCCCATCTCATGGGACACCCTCTGGACTACAGTGATGGCTGCAACCCTCCTGGGCTGAGTCACACCAGTTCTGCAAAAACCTGAAGAAAAAAACACAGACATGCTGAAGAAGAGGAATAGATCCAACACACATGCCTGTCAATTCCAGTTCAATGGTCATGTACTTGCATACCTGCTTTATACAAGTACTGAGGCAGCTGAGTGGTCTTTCCGCTGCCAGCTTCACCTGTTACGATCAGGAAGGTGTTTTCCTTCACAGTTTGAATGAGTTTGTCTTTGTGCTGATAAATAGGCAGCTTTCTTCATTCATACTTCTCTGTTTCTCTGCTCTTCTCTGATTTTGACATGTCTATGACCATTCATGCGCCGTTTATCCACTTCCTAACGTTGCTTAACTTTATATTTCACCTCTTGCGTTTACTAAAAGCTCAGCAGAATGTTCTTCTTCTTCTTTGACGTTTTATGGCGGTTGGCAAACCAGCTTTAGGTGCATTTACCGCCACCTACTAGGATGGAGGGTGGAGCATTGACGTTAAAGGAAAACTAAAAAAATTTTTTTTAAATTTTAAAAAATAAATAAAAAATAAAAAAATTAGTTCAGCAGAATATTAATAAGTCACAATCGCAGGTTATTTTGGCGCAGAAGACCTTGTGCAAGTTGTCAGTTGGTTTACAAAACACATTAGCGCCACCTGCAGCACAGGATGACATTACACTGCTGCGTTCACTGCAGGTTTTCAATGCTGTTCACTAGCAGCTGTTAGTTAAAAATGTGTATGTGCATAATATTATGCATGTTCAAAATAAATACAATAAAGTAGATTTACAAGAATTTTGATTTAAAAGAGAGAATTTTATGACTAGAATTTCAGACATTTCACAAATTTAAAAAAAATGTAAAGGTCAGCTTGTGACAAACTGAATGTTCTTACCAGTATGTTTTCTGACCAATTAATATTAAAATGCACCAACTTCTGTTTGTAAAATGCAAAACAAAGGAGGCAGGAGGATAATAATAATTCTGAAGAATTAGTTTTTCATTCAATCATTTGTGTATGTCACACAGATTTATTTGAATTAAATGAATGTGATTTCCATGAACCATGTTAAACATCAGCATTTATTGAGATATTGAACTGTCTGAAACGTGTGTTTTCTGGATTCTGTGGAACTGGATTCTGTCGTTGACTTCTGATCACTTCAGTCACTGTATATTGGATTTTTAAACTGAATATCTGCCGGAGAAATGAAAGAAAACAACACAATGAAGTTTTTTTGGCTGTGATAATTGTTCTGAAAAAGTGCCATGTAATAAAACTTCATTAATATACAAAATAAATGACATTTAAGAACAATGAAAAGTAATTACGTTTTTGTTTTTTCCGTTTTTTGCCAGCATTTGCTGGAATGGAGAGCTCCGCCTGGTTAACTGAAATGTTTCAAACAATTTTTGGGGTTATTTCAGTTGTAGCACATACAGCTAATCTGTTTTTCCAAGCACAAATATTGCCTTACCATAATATGGTTTTACATCTGAAGGATGACTTGTAGTTGGCTCAGGAGCAGCCCTGAATGCTGAATTGTTTTTTTTTTTTCAAAATTAGATTTGCATTATTTATCTTGTAAAGTAATACAATAAATCAAGAACCAAAAATTATGATTCACCTCTCTGAGGATGTTGCCCCTGCTGCACAGCAGAACTTTGATTTGGAGCATGTATGTCATTTTCTGGACAAAAAAAACATTTATAATTTTACCCAAAATCATGAAAAAAATTAATAAAACCAACTTGAAGTCCAATGTTCACACAGTGAAAACAGTACAAATATGATACATCATTCATACCATAAACAGTTGTGGGACCCCTCCTCACACCTTCAGAAATAAGATCAACAGACAAACAAAATGATTATTCTGAGGTAATCTAATCAATAATACCATATCATAACATCATATATTCTTTGACCAGAAAATGTTCGGTCTGTTGAAATTCCAAAGTACAACGCGTAGTGGAGGAATAATGATTCATATATTGATATGATTCACTTGTCCTTAGTCCCTCCCTGTTCTAGCTTGTACTATTCTAAACAATGTCTGAAACTTTGTATTACAAACACTTCTTGTGTTTATTTAGCCTCTTTATGATGAATTTCTTCTTGTATTCCTCATTTGTAAGTCGCTTTGGATGAAAGCGTCTGCTAAATGAATAAATGTAATTGAAAAAAAAAGTAATTCGGCATTTATTTGAAAGACAAAATAGTAATAAAAAAAACTTGTGTAGTGTTATAAATGTCTTTATTGCCACTTTTGATACATTTTATGCAAAAAAAAAAAAAAGTAGTAATTTCTTTCTTTTTGTTATTTTTTAATCTTACACTGACACTGAATACTGGAATAATGGATAATGAAAATTCAGCTTTGCCATCATAGGAATAAATGACATTTGAATATAAAAACACTTATAAGTAATAATATTTCTAATTATTAATATTTCGCAATATTACAGTTTTTACTGCATTTTTGATCAAATAAGTGCAATTATTTCCAAGAAAACAATATGCACATCTAACTTTTCTCTCTCTCAAATGTTCCAAGCAGCCTTGGTTTAACATTTTGTATGTAGTGCAATGACATGCATTGATTTTTAAGTGCAATTGTGTGTTTTTCAAGACCACATGCTGATAAGTAAAGCATGTTTCTTACCCCTCTTGTTTCTATGTCCACTGCTTTCTGTATTCTGTGTTTCTTCGGGGGAATTACTACCTAAAAGTCATATGATTTTCACAGAGGTCAAGAAACTCCACAGAAAGTGACTGAACATCAAGCACTGGTCAGGTGTGTTATACTGCTCACCTTCACTCTGTACGCCATTAACTGGATCAGATTTGGATGATGTATTTACACACTTCCCTGTCCAAACGAAGATTTATTTACAACATTTATTTGAGTAAATACATACATTATTGTTTTGTTTTTTTTACATAATAAATATAAAAATACCATGTAAATTATACTATCTAAATAATGTTAGGAAACAATGCTCACCATAGAATTTTGATAACAGGCTGAATGCAATAAAAAGCAGAATAAGCAATCCAGCTCCAGCTGCAAAGTAGAACCAGGGGTTTGACTCATTGATTCCTACAAAGAAAAAAAATACAGTTATAATGTAACAGTTTCGGAATCACACAGATTTGACCAATAACCATATGCAAAATGTACGTGTCTATATACAAATGTTATTGTAGATTATTTCTGCACATGCGCTAGAAATACTATACAAAAATGCTTTTGAACATCTCTAAAGTTACTGCCTGGCATGTTGTCACACTACATAGGTTAAGTTGTCGCATGGAACATGCTTGCATATTTCTGCGAAAAAAAATGCAACAGTTAAACACAAAAAGTCATGAATCCGCGAGAATGTAAAATGTAACAAAATATTTAAACCATTGATTTGTAAAATTTATTTTATACATTTGTCTGAATGTATGCTAGTGCAGTTGTGACAATAAGACCCCTGATCTTACTGTGCGGACGTTCATTGATCTTCACCATCCAGCATTCACTGTTCAGCCGACATGTGTAGGTGCCAATGTCTGAAGACTGCAGATCATGGATGAGGATGGAGAAATTTCCATGTTTAGATAGAAGTGGAAAAACATTCACTCGTCCTTCACTAGGACTGTGAAAGAAGATTCTGCCATTAATCCTGATCGTTACAAGACTGGAATAACGGTTCCAATTCACACTCTCGGTTTCATTGTGATGGCTTATATTAAAGTGACATGGGAGAAAGACTTCAGATTTCAGAGAAGCATTCACGGTGACCTCTGTGCATCTTGTATTCCTGTGGTACTGAGCTAAAATGAAGGGGCATCAAAATATAAGTGATTCAGTATGATATCACACATGCACACATTTGAATCTTTTAAGATTAATTTGCTACCAAACATAACATACATAATGTTAAAGAAATGTCTGGTTTGTTAATTTTACACACAACAATGTAAAATAAATAAATGTATGAAAAAATCTGAACTGCTGACATGGAGACAATATTACATTATTCTTTTGCATTCTTTTATTACAGTTTTTCTGAATTGCTAAAACACATTTCCATCACTCAATTTCTCAAAACATTAAACACAAATCCAAATCCTCAAACTAAATTCACAAAACCTGACTCTTCAATCAAAATCAAACAAACACTGCAAAACCATTTCACTTGCACTCAAAATCAAACGGTGCTCTCAGATCACACACTCATGAGTCAATAAAATAAACACTACAGAGCATTCATTAGACACTACAGAGAAAAATGGAGAACACAGCATCCAGAACATTACAGAAAAAAGTATATTGTATTGAGTAAACAATTTTGTAATTCTGTAAAAAAGTATAGTAATTGCAACAGATTAAGGTGAATATATTGTATAGGCCTACTGTATGTACTGCAAGAATAGTATTGTGCTGAATATTGAATAGTACTGAATGTTTGTATATATTCAGCACTTGGATACTGCAAAAATACTGCAGTCCGCAATTGTAAAATCGGGGTCAATGAGATATTCATTCTGTCTCAGCATCATGTCTTTGTGCTTGAGTCCGGCCTGAGGACTTTGTCCACATCACAAGTAATGTTGTCTTTTTTGCTAGACAAAGAGAAAAACCTCTCTGGTCTGACAGATCCAGCGTTGATAACACTCTCTAAACCTTACGCTTTCTCTCCTCATCCTATTCCTCCACATCCTCCACTTCTTACATGTACTCTTCCTCCTCTCCTTCTCAGACTGACTGCCAAATTTAATTGTATCATCATTCAGTCACCTGTGCCACTTGTGCACTCTGAACTGGCTCATATTTTGTACAGTTGGTTTGATCACATCATTAGAAACAAGTGTGACTTTATGAAATAAATATTTATTTACGTTTACTGGTTGCAGTTTTTTTCAACTGCTTACACAAAAAATCTTTACTTGTCACACAATTTCTGAAACCTGACACTCAAACACCAGAACCACACACCAAATCTGCAAAACCATACACTAATTCTCGGCCTTTTCAATTTCATAAAACACTTTGTGTGCAAAACACAACACACAGTTCTCTATGTAACACACAAAAATCTAACAGGAAGTATCTTGATTTCCTTTTTCAAACACAACCAATCAAAATGGCAGACTAATTCACACTATGCCTCAATGACTAACTCCTCACATGTGCAACACTCATTGCTTTACTTAACACCAACCAATCATGGCTTTAGAATAGGCCTATAAATACACATCTACACATGGTTTATTTGTTTATTTTCTTTCGTACTGTGTAATATTGTATTCACAACCACAAATGCTTACAGTAAAAAAAAGTTCAATCTTCAATCTGGTTGGTATCTTGCTTTTACAGTTTTTTACGATTGCTTAAGCAGTGTAAGGTTTTGCTAATTGTTGGAAAAGTTTAATTTTAGTGTGTAAGCAATCGTAAAAAACTGTAAAGTTTACCATGAATTTTTCAACATCTCTCTGCCAATTACTTTCAATCTTGTACAGAAATCTACATAGGAGCTCATGAAAGAAGAGCTTCAGGTTTTGAATAACTTTGCGTTTATGATATATCCAAAAATATAATATTATGGCAAAGGTGTTTGCAACATAAGATGAATGTTTGCTTTTGAGATGTGTTTGTGATATTTTGAATGAAGTGCTTCATTTTGCAAAAGATGTGAGGCATTTTGCATTGTGTGTGTGGAATTCTTGGAATTGTGTGTAAAGTTTTGAAAAAAAGAGACAAAGTTTTGAAAATGTAAGCAGTTGAAAAAATTTGTGATTTCTTATCAAAGCCAACTAAATTTCATTAGTGTCACCTATTGTACAGTCTAGCAAGATTCTTCTGATGCTAACAGCATGTTTTATTTTACTCTAATTTCAGTCTTGTACCTATCTATTGAAGCAAGGCAGATAATGAACAAAAGGGAAAAAAGCAAGAATGAAAGAAAGAAAAAAAAAACAAGTAGGCTATGCCATGCCATCATTACAAAATGGATTATTTCACAGCTTCCATCGACTCTCAAATAGCATAAGAAATAAAAATATTATCTTTTTCAGAAATGGTACAAGAATGACTAAGATATAGATGCAGTAAATATTGTTCAACATAAGAGTCTTTTTGTTTATTTATATTCAAATTAACTAATGGAAGACTAATTCAAAGAACCCTTTTAAGTCAAATAGTCACTTGCTATTTCCTGTAAAAGTGGGCACACACACACACACACACACACACACAGCTGTCGTGTTTTGAAAGGTGATGAGGTTTTCTGACTTCTCCATGTTGTTCATGCAAACTCATTGACGTTGTCCTTTTTTATGTGCACATGGTCATAGAGGTATTTTATTGTGATGCTGAAGTGATGAGCCAGGTGCACATTGGGCAGCTTTGGAGATGTCAGTATTGACTCTCTGGATGGTGTCTGGATGAATGTCTCTGCAGGGAACAAGAGTGGACATGATGATCTTTGCATTGGGGCAGATCTCATAGCCTTCTCTGCTACTCTGCAGACCAGCTACCCAACTCTCTCCTGTTCATTTCTCAGGTCATTGGTGCCTGTGTGTATGATAATGTGTGAGGATGTGCCAAAGCTGGGGTCAGAAAGCACTCTGAGGACATCACCTGTTTTGGGGAACCAAAATTTTTACCCCTGCAGGAACTTTCCATTGGAGTCCCTGAAGATGGCAGTTTCTCAACTGGAGTTGTGGCTGATTTTTCTCTTCTAATTTTTAAAGTTTCTGTTCAGTTAGAGACTACATACATTTGATCATGAAGTGCATACTAATTTCTACTGCCATATTAGTGCCATTAAAGCACACTCAGAAGCAGGCACGTGCACACATAGACATCAAAGGGGGCTAGAGCAGAAAGTGGCCTTTTTTCTGTTTTTTTTCTTGTTTTTTTTTTTAAATAAATGAATATATGTGTGCATGTGTGTGTGTGTTTCTGTTTGCGCACAGCTGTTCCTGTCAAACAAATAAAAAATCAAAATATCAGGTCGGTTCAGGAAATGTTGAAACTGTCGAGTGTCGAGTTCCGATGCCTTTCTCCCTCCGTGCCTCATCACAGCAGTGTAGCGCACATTTGATCAGCTGCACATCACGTCACAGACATGCAGAGAGCCGCAGAAGTGAAGCCCTCCCTCCCTTTCTAGTTGTGTTTGTCTTACAGCTAATTATCCTGTCCATGACTCATGAGAGCTACCAAGTTAGCTAAAGTTTAGCTAAGACAATAGGAAGTCTAGTAGGTTAGACCAGTGCAGGTTCTTTCACTGCATGATTCAGTTTATTAAAATGCATTTAGAATGATCACAAAATGCAACATATGGGGGCAGAAATGTATATATATATCATTTCATATAGTTAATCAGTATGCGAAGACTGACGTTTTTTCCACCAAAAAGCAACATGAGAAATGTGATATTGATTTTATACAGCAGTTCAATAACAAGAATTTAATATTAAGACACTTTTTTAGACACAATATTGACTGTTTTTGCTCTATTTCGCCAACTGTGATTGTGATTCAGTGATTGAATCACCCGTTTAAATTATTCGGTTCAGTCGCAATGACTCACTTATTACAGTTTTTCTCGATTGCTAAAACACTATAACCAGGCTTT